AATTTTCAGTTTAATCCGAATATATGTATGTATGTATATGTATGCTTCGTATATGAATGATGTATGTACATATATACGTGCGTATGTGCAAATGGATATGTTTATAAAAAATGTTGCACAACTATGATCAAGTACTATTTACAATAAATAACTTTGAAATTAAAATTTCTTTGGGTACATAAAATTATTTTTAAGGAAAAGTAATTTCTTAAATTTAAGTGCTAGTAAGTTAGTTTTGCAAAAGCAATCGAAGCTTTTTCATTTTAAATTAATGTTAGGTACACCTATTTTCTAGCACAAAAAAAAATAACTATTTTTCTTAACTCACGTCATTAACTCTTAAATTCGATCTCTCTTCAATTTTATTTTTACCGCATCCTAAATGTATGCAATCTCCGAAATATTTTAATAATGAAAACAATTGTTTTTTATTATAGATAGGTATAAGTATGTTATTATTTCAAATCCTTAAAATTTTGACGTTGGCGATGGTTGTAGCCTTTGTAAACTACCTATTATTGCTTATATATAGTAGCTGAAGAAATTATAACAGAACAAGGCATCAAAATTGCATTTTCTATTACAATTTAGTTTTTTTTCTAAGATTTAATTAAACTAGCTCTCTAAAAAGATTTTCTAATTAAAGTTTGAATTTTGAAAGTTAACAATGAATTTGTTTTTAATTGCATTAAATAGTTACAATATGTAAATATACACTGAACCTAAAATTGAGCATCGAGAATTCTTTGCCAATAAAGCATATAAAAATCAACTATAAACAATCAACTTTTCTTCTAAAAAATTATTGTAAAGTGTAGGAGATAATAAAAATTTTATATGTCTATTCCACACTCTTCTAATTTTAAAATTTTGAATGGAACTCATATAAAAATTTTTTTATTATCACATCAGTAATTTTAAAATTAATATTTCATATTTTATGAATTATGAATAATTTATATTATGAATTTCGTGAATTATGAATCTCTACATTTTGAACATAAGTTATGAATTACATCAGCTATTAAAAAAAAAAATTATAAATTGCAGTAAATACATTTTTTACAACTGATTTTAAAGATATATAACTTTATTGTGGTTAATTTTTTGTTATACAAAATAATGGAAAAAAAAATTTGAAACTTAATAAATATTTCAGTAGATTTTGCTTTATTTCCATTTAAAATCGCTTCATGAAAATTGCCAAAATAATATGGAAACTCAATCCGAAACTTTTAGGTATGGCTACAATAAATTTTTTAATTTAATATTTGAAAAATAAAAATCTGAAAAAAAGTCATTGAAAGAAAAGTTTAATTAAAGAATAAAATCAATTCAAAAGAATGTAAATTGCAAAAATTATAGATTTTAATTAATTTTATATAATATTACTATAAAATCTTATAAAATTTTATTTTGATAATTTACGACAAAATTAGTGATCTGTTTCAAAACGAACTACCACAAAGAGCTGACTTTGAAAACTACAACTGCTATTAAGCTGCATATGATTATGCAGATTTAATTTTAAAACTGCAAAGGCATATTTTTGTGAATAAGTACAAAAGTACAAAATGTAAACTTCAAAAGTACAAAATGTAAACTTCGTTACTGCATAATATGTATGTATTTAGGTTTATTTCTGAATATTTTTAAAATAAACTAGTTTTAATTTCAATATAAAGTAAAATTTAAATAAGATTAATTTCTATTGATTTCCATTGCATTAGCTTTGGAATTTGACAGTAAATTCAAAATTAAATCAAATTCTTAATGAAAGTATGACAGTTCTACTAAAAAAGTTTACATATATAAACATAATATGGAACATTCTAGAATTCTAAAATCTATAACGAATTTCTGCACAGCTGTACTGCATGAAATGAACAGTTTTGTATTTTTAATTACTTTATTTATTGATAATATTTAATGAATTTTTAAAATTTCCTTTTATCTATCTCAAGTCAAAAAACAAACAAAACTACTGAAGTTATTAAACTACAGTTATTATAAAATCGATATTAAGTGAAATATTTTTTTTTTCTAATTAAAAATTTAATTTTAATGAAATATTTTAAATTGTATTTATGTCAAGCATATGGGAAGGTTCACACAGTAAATAAACACGGAAAGTTCTTGTTTTTTCTTGTGTATTTAGGTTTTGAAAATTTAAATTAAATACATTTTTAATTATTGTGTTCCATGTTATTTACTTAGTTATAATGTCACATGTCTATTAACCTACAACTTATCATAAATCAATAACTTAAAATTATATTATAATAAAATTAATATTATAAATGTTAACCTTGTATTATCATTGATTTTCCTATACTAATAAATTAATGATTTCATTTTTTTACCACTTTTCCAAAAATTTGTTGAAAAAAAGGGCTTATTAGTTTTACTCTGTCCGTCCGTCCGTCCGTCCTTCCGTGGACACTTTTTTTGTTTACAAAACTTTTACAGCCTTGAAGATAGAAAGCTGAAATTTAATACGTATATAGATCTTTACTAAAAACTTATTTCCGTAGAACAAAATTTTTACCTATCTCCCCCCCTCTAGAAGTTTTACCCCCCCAAAACTGAAAAAATGGCCTTTTTTAACTATTTGTTGCAATGAAACCATAAGCATTTTTGAAATTTTGCAAACGCAGAAAGGCAGTGGCTTGCTACCCCTAGCGCGGTATATTATAGTTAAATTTTAAAAAAACAAAATGGCCGTTCAAATTTACCGTTATCTAAAGTCCTTTTTTTCCAAATTTTTGATTTCGGTTTTCTTCTAGACCCCAGCCTGTAGAAGCTTGAAATTTTAGGGGTTTTTAGATATTAACAAATAGTTCATTTTGTTAAAAGAAAATTTTTTTCCATCTCTACCCCCTCTCAAGTTATCGCCTCTTGAAATTTGTAAAATTTTAATTTTTGACACCTTATATTTCCGAAATCGCAAGCTTTTTTAAATTTCTATAAACGCAAAAAGCTAACGACAAATTCCATGACATTAAAAAATATAATTATTTTTCTTAACTCATACAATTAACCCTTAAAATCGAGCATTATGTTAACTCCACTTTATACTAATTTTTGCTTTATTTCAAAGACTGCATAAATCGTTCATCCTAAATATAGGCAATCCTGGAAATGGTATCGTATATGAATGAAAATATTTTTAATAGTGTGGTAGATATACATAGACTGTATTTAAAAGCAGAATTTTCACTTGTTGAAGGGAGAAGTGCTACAATAGAAACCATTTTTGGTTTGACCCAACTTTATTTAATTTAAAATTAGTTTAATGTATTATTAAATTTAATACGTAAAATTGATAACTGCAACTTAAAATTTATAATACATAAAAATTAAATTAGAGAACATGTACAGATAGTACGGTATGTACAAAATTTGGTATTTGTAAGCTATTTTATTCATTCGGACAAAATTCGGAAAATTATTGTAACAATTAAACTATGAAAGTATATTATATACTACTCGTATGTTTGATCTTACAATATATATACATCAATATATTGTAAGATCAAACCTATCTGTTTGATCTATATTAGTCTTACAATCAAAACTTAATTTATAATCTTGCTAAATATTTTTGAATTTGTGGTTATTTATATGGTACTTATTCATGATTCCTGAAAAGAACAACAAGAAAATTTATCAGAAATTAAAATAATACACCAATATTAAAAAGGCTTTGAATAAAATTTTGTGATTACACTTGTTACTAATTCATAATTTGTATTTAGTAGTTATGATGGGAACTATCGAATGTCCATTATCTAATAATTTATTGTTACGAAAAATTTCTTGATTGAATTCACTCGATAGTGCGTTTTCTTATCGAATATTTTAATTTTTATAAAAATATTACTGTATCTGCCATAGTTTAGCGTACCCCTAGTAATAAAAACTGGTAGAAATTGAGATAGTGCGAAGAAATAACATTTTCTGCCATGTTTTATATTATGCTGCAAAAAAATAAAAGTTGTTTTCATTACTCATGAAGAATCGAAAAGGGCCAATTGAAAATGTAGTCATAAATCTAGCTATATTTTGAATGTCACAAATCAGCTATGTATTACATAGTTGATAACTTTCTTAATACATAATACATATTTATTCTTCAATTTGTATTCAATATCGAGCTGCCAAATCATTCGATAGTGCCCATCACTAGTATTTAGTTTTCATTGAATTTTATTTTGAAATCCTCGCATTTTCAAAAAATATTTAATTTCGTTTGACCTAATTGCTTGAACTGAAAAATGAAAATTTGTCATAAAATTTATAAGCATCGGTGGTTCAGTGGTAGAATGCTCGCCTGCCACGCGGGCGGCCCGGGTTCGATTCCCGGCCGATGCATAATTATATTTTTTTTATCATTCAAATTATTAATAGCACAAACTACAGAAGAGAGCAAAAAACTGGTATCATGTGAAAGCAGCGAGAAGCAGCAGCAATTTTACATTCAAAAACTTTTTTTAAGTAAAATCATTAAGATTGAAAACCTGCGAATATTTTAAAGGTTTTGATTAAAAAAATTTTGATTTTTTGCATTTAATTCATTGTAATCATCATGTCAACATCTCGTTTAGTGTTTAATGTAATTACTTTTATATTTTTTCGATTGAATAAGAAAAATTTTAAATACATACATAATTTAATTGTACATAATTTTTATAACGTCATAAAATGGTTCTTTTCTGAAGATTTTTTTTACAAAATGAAAAAAAAATTATTTGCATCGGCCGGGAATCGAACCCGGGCCGCCCGCGTGGCAGGCGAGCATTCTACCACTGAACCACCGATGCGTACATTCTCTTGAACCAAATTTAAAATTTCTTATGCATCAATTGTTTGTTATGTGTATTTCATCCCGTGCGTATTAACGTAATTTATATCTGTTACAATGCCTTGATTTAAAAAAAAATTTGGTTAAAAGTTTATTTTACATTATTTTTTCTAATTTTATTAATTTTCCTTTTCAGATATGTCCCTACTAGACTTTGGGGATTTAGTGGACATGTACAAACGGTAATACACAGTATAGTGGGCCGTGTGAAATGTCCATGGCCCTTAGGGGAAAGATGTTATCTGTCACTGCGGGATGGATCAACTTTAACATATGATTTGTATCAACCCTTAATTGAGCATGAAGGTAGATTCCAAATTTTTTAAAATCTAGAAAATTTTTCATTTATAATGTTGCATGTAAAAGTTATTTATTAAATTAAAATTTTAATTTAACTTATCAATTTTCACAATTTAAGATGATGTAACGATAGCGATATGCCCAGGAATAGGCAATTCTTCAGAAAGTGTATATGTCAGAACATTTGTCCACTATGCTCAATGTCATGGCTATCGTTGTGCAGTACTAAACCACATTGGTGCCTTAACTAGTGTTCAAGTAACTTCTACAAGAATCTTTACTTATGGTAATGATACTTTATAAATTACATATTATATACATGTGTCTACATATGTTGTTAAAATTAATGTACGCATTTGTGTTTTTTTTTCTTTCAGGGCATACTGGAGATTATGCTGAAATGATTGAAAACTTATACAAAAAATATCCATCGTCACACTTTTGTTTGGTAGGATTCAGTCTTGGAGGAAATATTGTGACCAAATACATGGGTGAAAAAACAACTAAAAAACCACATAAAATTATTGGCGCTATTTCTGTTTGCCAAGGATACAATGCAGTGGAGTAGGTTTTTTCTTTATATTTATAATCAAGGGTTAATATAATTAGTTTTGCAAAATTTTACAATTTTTGATAATTTCAGGGGCACAAAATGGCTTTTGAATTGGCAGAATTTTAGGCGTTTTTACTTATATGTGATGACTGAAAATATGAAAAATATAATTATGCGACACAGACATGTTTTATTAACGGAAGAAGTGAAAACTAATTGCAATTTAAATGAAAGAGAAATAATCGCAGCAGCAACTTTACCAGAGCTAGATGAAGCTTATACCAGAAGAATACACAATTTTCCATCAGTAACTGAATTATATACTTGGAGTTCATGCATTAATTATTTAGATAATATCGAGAAACCAATGGTTTTCATTAATTCTAAAGATGATCCACTAGTACCTGAAAGTTTGTTACACCCAATTAAGGAATTTGCTGGTTAGTATGTTGTTTTATAAAAGTAAAAGCAAAAAACAATTTGTCAATTATTTACTACTATAAATTATTTTGAGGAATTTCAATTCGTTTTAAGAAAATGAAATGCTAAGAAAAGATTAAACATATGTTTAAAAAAATATACATAAAATGAAAATTTAGATTTGAAAGAAATTATGACATGCAGTCGTGGCCGAGCGGTTAAGGCGTCTGACTAGAAATCAGATTCCCTCTGGGAGCGTAGGTTCGAATCCTACCGACTGCGAAGGTTGTTGGTTATTTTTTTTTACTAAATGTAATGAAGAAGTACATGTGTTTTTTTTTTCTTTTGGACTTTTTTAAGAAATATTTAAAACGTTCTACTATAGATGTATTTCATATATTTAAATATTACAAGAATCTTTAAAGCACGTTTACTTTGAATTTGGTATAAAGAAGAATTGAAAAACTTATTATTCAATAATATTCAATTAGAATTGTTATAAAAATTTCGAATAATTGTTTTCAATATTAAGATTTTTCATAATTTCGCATGAAAAAGATTTATTTCTAACTCCATGAATCACATACTGCGTACTATATTAAATTTATTTTACCTCTTTCTGTATTAGTTAAATTAATAAAAAAATTAAATAAATTATAATTTTTTTTTCATGTATTCTTATTTTAGTTACAAAAAGCAAAGCCGCATATATCGAAGTTGCACATGGAGGACATTTAGGCTTTTACGAAGGTGGACTACTATACCCAAATCCGGTAACTTGGCTTGATAGGGCACTAATAGCATTGGTTGGATCAATATTAAGTCATCATAGACAACAGCAAAAGATCTCAATAATATAATTGTAGCATAATAAATATTAAATACATATACATATTCTCTAACCATAACTATTTTATACAATTAAAATTACTAAAAATGTTTCTTACTAAATCTATATAATAAAAAAGAATAATAATAATCAAATTATTATACTGTAATTATATTACTAATTTTTTTTTACAATGTAATTCATTCCTTTCACTTAATGATTTAAAATAATTATGTTTAATATTTTTAAATATTTCTATGTGTATAAGTTAAAGTGCAATGGCCTCTTTTTTTTTTACACGGTAGAATGATTTTTCAGAAAACCGTGTAAAAAACAAGCGATTTGTACGTGTAGTTTCATAGTCGTTTAAAAAAAAGAGTAAATTCTACTTATACTTTGTTTAATTTCTGTTTTCTTAAAATAACGTATGACGAAAACAATAATAAAAATAATTTTTAAATTGACGAACACAATAATATGAAAATTTTTTAATTAATTTTGAAATTAAAAAAGAAAAAAAATCACAAATTAAACTTAAAAATTTTGTAAAAATATGAAAAAAAGACATTTTTTTAAATAGATAAATAAATATGCATATATTTAGAATAATTAAAATAATTAAAAAAAAGGAAGAAATAAACAAGTAACAAAATGTTCGAAAATTAAATTTAATTAAATTAAAGCGTCCTATTCATTTATACGAGCATTTATAATAAATGCATGAATATGTATATAGTAAATAGAAAATGAAAGAGAAATTCTCTTTTTGTTTTATATTTTTTGTATTTAAAAATTGTTATAATTAAAAATCGAATAATAATTATATTTAAATTTACTAATATATATTTATACAATATTTAAAGATATTTAACTTGCTGTATGTATATGAAAAGGACCTTTGTTCTAAATATTTACCTATTTATAAAAAATTTATATCACAAAAGTACCAGAAATGTTCGTATGAATTTAAAAGATACATTTTTTGTGACATACATACATTATACGAATTTATACATATATAAATATATGTATACATTCTGCTGCATATTTGTATCTCCAGTTTGATTTAGTGTTATATATTTATTTTTGTCATCAATGTCAGAAAAGTCAAAATTAGAAATTTTCATCATATCGCACAACATTTAATTTTTATTTATTAATTTATACGAAATTAATCTGTGTACTACACAACTTTAACGAAAATTATTATTTAAAAAATTCAATGAAATTGATTTTGAAAAATATCATATATTATAAAAGTTATTATAAAAATCATGATATAAGAAACACTTTCTATCTGCGACGATAACCCGTTTAGGTTGACAAAGTAGTGAAATAACACAGTGCTTTAATTCCCTCACTTCATACTAAGGGAATAAAATCAAAATATTATGATATTCTCCCAAATATTTGTTAAATTACTTTTTGAAAAATCTCATTAAAATTTGGAGAAATAATTAGTTTGGAAAACAATTAAATTAAAAGCTGACAATGAACTTTCTAAAGCGAACAAAAAAAATTGATAAAACTATAATAACAAAAATTCTAATCAAATTCAAAAATATTCGGTGCAATCCCGGTACTCGAAAATGCTAATCCCGACTTATGTCATTTTGTCTCATTGTCATAGATATATACACGTCGCGATTTATTCATATTAAATTTGAATAATATTAATGTTGGCACGACTAACCTAATAGGCACTAATTTTGTGCTCTTATTTAATTTTATTATGTTAAAATGTATTGCAATAAAAACAACTTAATATATTGAATATTGAGGTTTTCAATATAGAATATCAAATTTCGGAATTGATTTTATTCTGAAAACTTCTGAAATTTTGAATAGTATCCAATCACTTAATCCGTCTTAGAAAATATGGATTACTGTTTTGAAGATAAGAAAATATATACAAAATTTAAATTACTTCAAAATTTGAATAAGTTAAAAAAAATATGGTTAATCTCTTAAAAGAATGTTACGTTGAATTATTTATTTATTTCTTTTTATTTTTCGCAAATTTTCGTTATTTTTTTTTGTTTTATCTTTTCATTTATTTTTGATTTCAATATTATTTAAATATTTTATGCAATTGTATGTTAATTTTTGTAAAAATATATTGATAATTTTCTTTTTCATCAAACATTATTGTTAAACAAAAAATATAAATATATAAAAATTTAGCATTCCTAAACTAAAACTAAGCATTCTATCAATTTTTAGTTACATTAATGTTTATTTGCTACGTTAATGAATTCAGTAATTAAATTGGATTACTACATAAAGATTATTTATAAGGAAAAACAAAAAAAAATTGTATTTACTATAAATTATATTAAAAAATAAATTAGATTTAAAAAATAAAAAATTCAATACGAATTTATTCTAAATTTTAGAGTTTTACATTGGTTTTACATAAGTAGTAATCACTTAGTACACAATTTCTTTTATTCGATTTAAATTTTAATTATTTTTATTTAAATGATAAATTCTATACAAAAAAAAATTTTTATTTGTGATAATATTAACGCTCATTTTAAAGCGTATGTATTAAATAGGTTTTCAAATTTAAGTAAAATAATTAATGAACATACTTTATACAAATATAAAATTAAATGGTAGAAAGCATTTGTTTAAATATTGTGAGGAATAACTTATATACTTTGTAACAGATTTAAACAAGCAAAAATCGTCGAAAAGTTATTCTATATTTAATTTTATGTAAACATTCCTTTTATATATTTTTATAAAATATGACTAAAATAAAATCGAAAATGTCATGATGGTAAACGATTAAATTTTTTAAATAAAAATATAAATTTAGTTATTCCTAAATTTGACACTATACTAAAAAATGATTTTTTTTAAGGGGTGTGATGTATATTAACGGAAAGTACTTACTTATTAAGTTAAATTTAAAACAATGTAATGTAATGTTATATGTAGTGTATTAATAAAAATTTAATTTTATTTGACAATTTTATTCATATTACGCTTGAAAAGCACTTATTTCGTTAAAATTGAAAGGCTAAAAAAGATATAAATTTAAGGTGTAACGCTTTTCTTGTACCTACAATATAAAAAAGTTTTTTATTAATTTTTTAGAAGTTACTGATTTTAAAAATGTGCTTTAATCATGTAATTTAACAAAAAATTAAAAATATTTTTAATTTCTAAAAAAAATGAAAAGAAATATTTTTAGTTTCTGGTAACTACATTTTGCACATTTTTAAAAAATGAAAATGTTAAAAATATTTATTATAGCACTATACGTATATAATTTTTTAAAGGTTTTAATGTCCGTAATAAAACTGCAAAATTGTACTGCAAAATTTAATGAAATATGTAAGTCTTAAATTTTTAATACAAAAAAAAAACAATAAAATGTGTTACTAGTTATTAGTACCTACATGAATTGAAATAAAAATCATTAAAAAAAACTCTATGGTGTTTATATTGTATATCCTTGATTTCGTTTCTCTTATTTACATACATATATCGCACAGCATCCGAAAGCAAATAAAGCTTCTGGAAAGACATGAAATACACATACCTTTCGTATTTATAAAAAAATCCATCTTTAATGGAATAACAAGTTTTAGAAAAAGAATTATTGTATGAACGAATAAATTTATAAATGGTTATTGATTATGGTAGCTAGGGTAGATGCCTATATTAAAAGATTATAATATATATAAGAATCTGAAAATTGTTGTTCCGAAAAACAAGTTAAAAATTTAAATTTTAGACCAAATAATATCTGTAATTTTCTTTATATAACAAAAATTAAAAATAACAAATTTTAAATTAAACTTAAATACAATAATGCAAAAAGATTTATTTGATGTAGCTCAAAATAAATTTTAAAAAAGATAACGTAACATTAATACTTATTTTGTAATATATGACTACTATTTTAGTTATGTTTGGCATTTTAGATTTATATGATTCAAAGCTATTTATTTTTGTGGCTCAGTAATTTAACAGCAGCATCTATATTCTTCTCACATGCATAAAATGCTTGTTCTGCTAAATAATCAGGAAACCCCAAAGCAACTACCTATAAAAAAAATATTATAAAGGTAGTTGAAATAAAATATTATATTAAAAATTTTTTGAATCAACCTTTTGTATTCCTTCCTCATCTTTAATGTTGAAAACTTTCTTCAATTTCACAGATTCTACCTGTTTTATTTCATCATTATTACATAATAAGTCCAAAAAACCTTCTTGATTTCGGGTAATTTCTTCCCAATCTCCCATTGAAAGTGCAACCATAGCCTTAAAAATATGAAAAACACTTTAGGTATTTTCTGAATGTTTTTAAATATATTTTTTATTACCGAGTTTATGGCAGTGTTAATTTCTTCTGGATCTTCTTGATAAATAATGTTTTTTAACACATTTAATTTCTTCGAGCCTTTTAAAAACCCAAGAGGATCTAAATAAAAACAGATTTTGCATGGTTACTGTTGTTGTTATGAAATTTCTTACAACTTAAATAATGTATTTATGTATAAAGTTACATGTAGTGAAATTAAAACACTATTTTTATCTATTTGACAGTACTCAACAGTACTATGTATCAAAAACTTATTTACTTAAATGAATCTAAAAAAATAGATTAGATTATTTTTGAAGAGCATAACGAGCACCCAATAAAAGAGAAATGCAGAAATCTAATAAAAACATGCAATTACCATCCTCGTCTTCTTCCAGATCCTCTTCATCTGATCCAGATTCATCTTCCTCTGTTAGAGTGTCGGATATATCGCAACCATGCCTTTTTAATTTTTCAAGAAAACTGATAGTCTTTTCTACATCGTTTCCGTTATTTTTCAACGCTTTTTTGGCTAACTCTTCACTATATCCCATTTGTATTATTGAGGATATTTTTTTGGATATTGATGTCATCATGTATTAAAAGAAAACACTACACGAAGTTTTTAAAGTTTAAGATCTTACAGATTAAAATAAAATGTATTTAATGTTATTATAGCAATATATGTCTTTTACAATAAACATGTAACTGAAAATTTTACAAAACCGAAAATTTGAATTAAACACTTTGTAGGAAAATAAAATACTTTCGAATTAAGCAAATCGCGCAGGCGCCAAAACTACATATTTTAATAAAGTGGGTAAATACAAATATATATTATTTAAAGGCCTTGCAAAGCTAAATAATTCATCGAAAACTTGCTTCGATGTATCAAATTTATTGTATTACAAATAAAATTTTTAATGTCTTAATTTTGACATCGAAGTCACTTTAAATTTCATAGTGACGTTAACTTTTCTCTTGATTCGTCGCTGTGTGCTTTTTTTTATGACACTTTATTTGACACTTTTTTAACAAGGATATTTATTATGTAGTAGCAGTAGTAAATAATTACTTCGTTTATGTAGCAGCTTAAGTATTTGATTCGAAATCACCACGAAACTCAAGCCACCTATTCATTATGTCAGCTTGAAAGAAAATTGTATTTAGCTATTATATAATATTTCAAGTTATTGTTAACATTTCATGTCAAGTAAGCAAAATTTTTCGATTGATTTGAAATGTCAAAATTTTTTGAGTGAATCCAGCTTCAAGCCAAGTAACGTTTATTATAATACAAAAAAGGTTTAAAGTGCGCTTGCCATACAAATATGTGGATGGGGTTTATATATAAGTACAATAAAATAAATAAAATAAAAATAGCAAAAGAGAGAAAAAAAGAGAATACAAAAGTCACATAATACAAAATACACTCGAACCAATGAATAACATTAAAGAAACATTATATATCTATTTAACAATTTATTTTCAAAAGTTAAATTTGATTCATTTGATGCAATGCATGTTTAACGCAAAAAAAAGTAGTTTTTCCAATTGCAATATATTTAAAATTTATTTTAAATTGAGTCAACTGCCCATTAAACCACGGTACACGACTGGGTGGGTGCCAATGAACGTTTAACTCTCCAAAATCCCAGTTGAAAATTTTGGGTTTCGACAAAAAGGTTTATTTACTTAAATGGCTATAACTTTCATAATTATTAACCAATTTAAAAAAATTAATATGCAATGGAAAGCTGGAAATTGTCATCGGGATATTGTCATATAAAATTTTTACTATATTTATTCAGATGTTCTTAAAAACCGTGTGTAAACGTTGCGTTAAAAACAAAGATAGAATTATTTTTTGCATGTACAAATAATATTCTCGCTTTTCTATCTATCTATTACTTGTTTTTATTTGTATCAGCTGACAATACAAAATTTGTTTTTGTTTATTTTCTATTGTTTTTTTTTAATGTTATAAGAAGTTTTTTTAATTTCTTTTACAAAATTTTGATTATGAAACAAATATATGCGTATAAGTATATAAGTACATTCATTTTATTATAACTATTTAAATTATTCAGGTATGCAGGTATTATATCAAATTTATTGCAATCACATGAAATCTAATTTCAAAATTTTATTTCGGACTTTTTTTCCTTATCTACAAAAATTAGAGTCAATTTCACGACAGACATACATATGCATAACGTCGTAAAGAATTAAATTAGGAAAGAAAAAACTTCATTTATTTTATTAGAGGGTCGTTTAAAACATTTCAGAAAAAAAGATTCTTCTTTTAATCAATTGAATACTAAAAATTATATTAAAATAACAATTTATTCCAAATTGAAGTATTTTTCTGATGATTCTTTCATTTTCTGAATATTCTTATTTATTGTTTATAAATGTAAAAATTAATATTTTCTAGTTGCTAGTTTTATTCGCTACTAATATTAATTTTACTATTGTGTACTAGATCAATAGATGAATGATAAATATTTTTTGAAGTTTTATTAAGTAGTTTTTTTCATATACTACTTATGTACATTTGTATGTAAGTATTTATCTTCGCTTTTTAAAAATACAAGTTGGGAAATTCTGTGGTGATAAAAGTTTTTTTTATATAAGGCCCTTATAATTGCTTTTTTTTTCTAATATACATAATTATATTCTTGTAATATTTATTAATGATTTATTACTATTTTGACACTAAATTTAATATGCAGTCGTGGCCGAGCGGTTAAGGCGTCTGACTAGAAATCAGATTCCCTCTGGGAGCGTAGGTTCGAATCCTACCGACTGCGAAGAATTGGTTGGCTTTTTTTTTTAACAATTTTCTCAGATTCCATAACGAAAACATTTTTTATAAAAAATTTTTATAATAATAAATTTACTAAAATTTTTCAATAATAAAATGCATACCATAAAATTCGCAATTAAAATTAAGAAGATATTATTGAAAATTTGATAAATCATATCATGTTTTACATACAAACATATACAGACGGTTACTAAAATTGAAAAACTTCAGTCAAAGTTAATTATTAAATCGCAATCTGCGTTACTTCCCACTTGGATACAATGGTATCCATTTGGATACTTTTTTTGCTTTAAATTTAGCTTGGGTACAAAGATACTCAAATCTGCTAAAATACCGAAATTGGCTACATTTGAAAATTTTATGATGAAATGTGGATACAATTATTTCTCAAACACTAAATAAATATTACAAAACTGTTAAAATGCTGCTAATATTAAATCGCGAAATTGCTTTATTCTTAAAAAATGTTATTTGCTGGCTTGTCTAGGCACATTTCTGAATTTATTACGTTATTATTAATATTAAGTATGAGTAAATTTGCACAAAATGAGGCGACTTACTATATTAATTCTACTTTATTTTGCTGGATACATTTTGGATACATTTTTTTCTCGAAATCGGATACATTTTGTTTTTACCGAGTGGGAATACTGCGCAATTAATGTGTAATGCCATACCAATAGCTTAATCTAATAGTAAACTAAAATAAGACATTTATAATATACGTAAAAGAGATAAAAATACATGTATTTCAACTATAAAAACATGTTTCGTCAAAACTCAACTTTTAGTGATTAATCGTAAATATAAGCAATCAAAAATCATTCGAATTTGGCGTATCTCAGATATTTGTAAAGGAATAATTAAGAAATGCAAATCCTAAAGTAACTTATTTGATTTTTATAATTGTATTTTTTTATATTTTTATAAATTTGAAGTTAGATTAGATTAAGACGTTAATAATTTTATTTTACAACTATATGAGTTACTCATTATTAGAAATGTAAAATTTACAAAAAAATTTTTATTCCAATTTTACGTAAATCAGTTTTAGCTAGAAAATTGTTGTGTATGAAAAAAATGTTTCCAACAAAATTAAGTTTTATACTGCCAGTAATTTTTATTCTCATTAATATTTCAACAAATAAAGTTAATATTTTAGCATATATTCTTTAATTTACAATTTTTTATATTTCATAACCAAAAGTTAATCATACTGTTTAATAAAGTATCATTTCGTATGAAAATTTAAATCTAATAAGACGTAAGTCATTGGAATTTCTATTCTAATACAACGTAAGTGTATTAGAACAAATTTCTGAAAGTTTTGTTAATTATTATTACGCTGACCACATTTTTTTCGTATTGAAATATTTTCAAATTCCACATTTCAGTTAAGGCTCTGGAAGACAAGCAATTTTTAGTTTTTAAATTGCTTCTTGATTGTAGAATCGTTGCGCGCACATCTAACCAACTGTTCTGTCAATTCAAATCGAATGCGTTAAATAAAAATTATAATCAGTTTGGAAAAATTACAAACTATTTGATAGCTTAATTGCATGCGACCACTTGCATGACTGCACGCTTAAATATATGTCTTTGGAATATAGATAAGCAATGAAACTGTTGCAAAACTAAAAATTACATCTCTGCTCTTAAGTTAATATAATATAAGACCATAATAATTGTATAAATAATCTATATCTATACCAACAGAAATTTCAAACAGATATTCAAAAACACGAAACGACTTAATCAATACATAATACTTATTATTCAATAAATCGATAAATAAAGTAAACAACAAAAGTTGACACAAATAAGTGTTTACTTATGTAATATATTTTCTTCTGAATGGGTTTTTTTAAAATAACCATAAACTAAAACAGTAATTTCCAAAGTGGTCTATATATGTAGACCCCCAGGGGTCCATGAAGAACTGTTAGGTGTCTACGAAGGTGAAAAAAATTGGGGGTATATCAAATGAAAATGAGGATCTACAATGAATATTGGCGTCTATTTAATGAAAACTCCCTTTTACAAAGACAATATGTTATTTCATCTCTAAACCAAAAAATCAATTTTTGTTCCAGCTTTTCCATTTTTATACCTTAATGCTAAACGTTTATTAATTATTATAAAACTGTCAATTATTTTTGATTTGCTCTCTGAGCTTCGTGGCCTGATAGATATACATATGTATATGGAATTAATTTTTAGTTTTAAAAAGTACATCTAAGCTATGAAATAAAATATGTTTAATTTGTAAAAGACCTTATATTATATGATGCGAAGATGAATTCAAAGTAAGGTTCTAATATGTCATTTTTAAAAATTTATTTTGTAAGCATCGGTGGTTCAGTGGTAGAATGCTCGCCTGCCACGCGGGCGGCCCGGGTTCGATTCCCGGCCGATGCAAATTTTATTTTGTTTTTTTGATTTTTGCTTATTTTTGCATAAAACTAGGACAGTGAGAAGAGTAATGGATTAATACTTTTTTTAAAATTAGTGTATTAAATTTTTATGTGTTATATATGTATATGTATATGTATGGAAATACATATGATGATGAAAATAAACGTTTTTTATTTAATTACATACATATGTATGTTTGTATAAATATCTTTGTTTCAAAAGCATATTTAACATCAATAACAAAATTGTTGTTTTCTTAAAACATTCATTTAGAGAATATCAGTTTTGTTTGTTTGGAAAATAAGTTTCGGTTCGAACTCGCATACATTAAAATATTTAAAAAGTAAGATAAAATCTTATCTAAATGTTTGCAAATTTTATGGCATTGCGTTTTTTTTAAAATACCGTTATACAAAGTAAACACCTGCGACTCAAGACTGAAGCAAGATAGAAGTTTTATTCATACTGAAAATATTCTAAACTTGTAAGCTTTGAGGATCTTACTTTCCTACATCCATATTATGTAATTTAAGTAAAAAAATTTGCTTGGCTAGATTAATATAAAATATGATAAAAACTATTCACCACATTTATAAACCAGAAGATTCAAAGGAAAACTACAATATTCTATATATAAATAAAGTAAAAATTATAAGATTAAACTGTAACAGTAAGAATACCATATCTTTCATTATCCACACTATTATCTTTTAGAGGGTGATTATATTTCTACTTTATTCCGAAGCATCTGAAACAAAATTTGCCACACGTAAGAAAGTAAACTTAAAATCGGAATAGCAGTAATATAGTGTTATATTTTTTTTAATTATAAGTATCAATCTGGAACCGTTCAGTGATACAATACATTTCTCATGTCAATTGGAAGCGGCCTCAGTACTAGAGAATTACGCAAAATATAGCATTAACGACAACGCGCTAACCAAATTAACTGGAAGTATTCAGTGAGCGGCTTTGTGCAACCAGCGAGGTTTAGTACAACCAAAGAAGTGGCTTCAATTAGTACTACTTGTGGAAACCAACTATAAAAAATGAAGATTTTTTGAGTCTTTCAAATATTTCACCATTTTGTTTTTATTTCCTGGTAATTTGATCTATTTAATCCACTCAGCAATGGTATGTTGAGTATATTCAAGGGAGCTTTTTAGTTCTTACTGAAAGTAGTTTGTTGATATCAGTACAGTAAATCTGTAGGTAAAGTATTTTCTTGTATAATAACCAATATTGTTGTTATTCGCTCGTTCCATGGGTAAAAAATCATTCACGCTGCATAAATATCAGAAGTCCATTTTGATCTTTGCTTGAAAATTTTTATCTTGATTATTCAAAAATTTTTTTTAATAAAATCTTTAACGCAAAAACTTTTTTTGAAAAAATTATTTATTTCTTTTTCAATATATGTATCAATAATCGTTGACGTAAATTATATTTATATATATACGTACATATTATAAATATTATATATGTTTATATATAAATATATATAGCTACTTTAAAATGATTTTTACACAATCCTAACTATAATTTTTTAACGAAATTTTGCAAAAAACAAAATTGAAATAGCAAATTATATACAATCGCAAAAATATCTTGCGTATTTTCTCCTTTTTTTAATTACAATTGAGGGGGTCAGAAGCAAAGTGGCTCATCCTCACTCCCAAAATTTTTGTTTTTTTTGTTAAAAATGTAAATAAAGTTATGTAAAAATAATGATATCTTCATAAAAATAAACGAAAACTAAAACTTTTACTCTTTTCTTTTCGAAAAATCATAACATGAAAGATTTTATGAGTATTTTAAGAAAAATAAAATATTAAATTTTATTTATCTCGGTAAAAAATTTATGTGGGCTAGGCCGTTTTACTTCTGAGCCTCTCAATCAATTGTCGAGAAGCTTTATTTGTGTTTGATAACTGTAAATTATATTTATGCAATATTTGAGAAAAACTTATATTTTACGAGATTAACATAAATAATATAACTTGTTTTGTTTTAATAAAAATAAAACGTTACTTTCTTCTTAAAATTTGTGAAAATAAATTAAAACTAAAAAAAAATATGGTGAAACCTATAATAAGTGTATGAAGAGCAAAAAAAAAACAAAAAAACGCATGTCTACTTTTTCTTATTAGTCGATTCTTCTGGTACTCCCGCACCTGTCGATCTTCCAATTTGATATACGCCATCTTTAAAAACGATCACAAGCACTGTAATATTATCAACAGAACCACGGTAATAAGATTGTAATGATAGGGCTTTTGCTCCGAAATTCGGTTCATTTAAATGATCTTTAACAAAAGCTACAGCCTCTTCATTACTAAATGTGTCCCAAAGACCATCCGACGCAAGTATAATAAAACTTGGCCTAAAAGTAACAAATATTATAATAATTTGAAATTATATTTATAATTTTCTACAGTTATTACTTATGATCATTTAATTCAAATGCCAAAATATCTGGATCAGCTATAACCAAATTTTTGTCTTTTAGTGGATAATCTCCCATTGCTCTTGACGTTGCCAAAATACCAGCTACGCGCCATACACCTCTAAAGGCAATAAAACCGCCTGCATCATGTATTCTTTTACGCTCTCTAACCTATAATTATAAGAATTTTATTTATCAGCAATTTTACATTTTCTAATATTTATAACAATGTAATTTATTTTTTTTATTATTGGCAATATTATGTAATTTATTTTATTTACCTGTTGCGGTTTATGATCAAATGATAAAGGTATCGCATTTCCCCTTGAATCGCACATAACACCGCGAGAATCTCCAACGTTGGCGACAATTAATTTAGTTCCTTGAATTATTGCAATTAATGCTGTTGTTCCAGCGACATTTGTCTGTAAAATATTGGATAAAAGTTAGCATTTCGTTGTATGATCAAAAATTGTTATTTGTAATCGTTAAACATCACATATTTATTGTATATGGAACATGAAATTATTAATGCCACAAAATTTTTAAAGAGTCAAGTCATTTTGAATTTTCTATTTAGTTTTTAAAATAAATTTAAAAAATTTTATAAGGAACCTATCATATGGAATTAAACGGTTTAGAAATCGTCAGTAACAATGAATTTCAAAAATTTATTCGAAATCTTTAATGAGGGATGTTTTTGCCTAAAATTTAATCTCATGATTGTGAAACTTAATACAAGCTAAAAAAACTTACTGTTTTCCTTCCGGTTTCAACCAATTTATGATCAGCAGCTAAAATTTCATCGGAAATCATTTTTCCAAAATTGATTTTTCCATTTTCAATATAACATTCTGCATTGAAAACTTGTGGGGCTGGTTTTGAATTACCGTTATTATTATCATTAGAATTAATATTAAAATTTTCTTTAGGTCTAATAAGTGAATTTAATTTTGATGTATAGGCATCTGTTGGAGATAATGTTTTTGGCGTGCAATCATCAGTTGTACTGAAATTTAAAATTATAATATTTTAAAATTATTGTATGTTTTTTATGTAAAAGTAATTCTGTATTTTACTTTGACTTTCTTCCACTATCCTTTCGCTTTACTTGTGTACCACCACTTGTATTTTCTTTATTTTCACCAAACAAATCTTCTTTTCTAAAACTTGATCTCCTTCTCATAAATGGACTATTTTGATAATCATGTTGTGTTTCTGGATCTGCTTTTAATCTAGTCTGTTGCTCTTGTAATAATTTACAACTTTCGGTGATTTTATTAAAAAGATTTTTAACTAATATATCTTTAGCGAAATCTGCTGCAAATTCACCACCATGCCCATCAAATATAGCGAAAAATGATATGCCTGTATTATTTATATCTTCTTCCAGTGTAAATCTGAAATTGAATAAAATAAAATTTTGATTTTAATTTTTTTTTTAGAAAAAGTATTAATAATGCATTATATGCATTTCTTTTCTAAAATTTGTTTAAAAGTTCCTATAAACTTATTGCTTTCGATATATGTTGAAGCTGCTCCTAATCGAATAACTCAAATATTAAAAATTAAGATCAAAGTTATAAGGATTGAATTGTAAAAATAAATAACAAGATGCTATTACAAACATATATGTATATATGAATATCAACAAACAAACAATGTATGTACTTATATTATGATTATGAGTAATATTTAACAAACGAATAAGACATTTTGGCGCCAATGAATTTCAATAATATCGTTTACTCATGTGTTCAAAAGAACTTTTGCAAGAGAATTTCTTGTTTCTTGACCTTAAAATTTGTTTTAAAAGATGAATTGGTAAATATGAAACAATAAATATGACTGAGCAATAATAATACAGTCATGAAAAAAATTATTTGCGTAAAGGCAAGGATATTCCCATAATATAATTTTAGCACATCCACTTCAAGTATCCTAAGAATTCAAAAGGGTTTTCTTGAATTTCACATTTCTTAATTTATTCTTAACCTACTAAAGATTTTGAAATTGTTTCTTAGGAACTTAAAAGGCATTTCATCAATCGCTTTTAACTGAATTGTTGTTTGTATTACGTGAATAATTATGGTCACGACTGTGCTTAAGAATATGTTAAATTTATTTTCCTTTTTCGAATTTTAAGCTCATTATCAATAATGATTTGGAAATCAAAAACAAACGTAATTTTTTCCAAAAGAAAAAATTAAAAACATAAGAAATTTTTTTTAACGAGAAAAGGAAAACATGTTTTTATATAAATTAAAATTTTTAAAATAAATAAAATTTTTCTAATGTGTTTGTACGATTTTAATGATCTTGTGTAATAAAAAGATACAATGGCATTTATATTGTGCGCTCAAGCGTAAAATTTTGTATCTCTATTAAATGAAAATACGCGATAGAAACTGCTTCTCAAATATTTATTTACAAAAAACAATTTAAATACAAACATACATATATCCATATAAAATGTTAAATATATTAAAAATTCATTAGATTTTCCCAAAAGTTCAATAAGAACAACCAAAATAAACTAATTTTTTTTGAGGATTTCCGTTTTGTTTATTGAATCAAAAAACTTGGATATGAGCAGATAATAACCGACCCTTAAAATTAAAAATCATTTTCTTAAATTTCGTTAAATCATTTCATTAAATTTCGAGGAAATTGGTTGATTATTTTCATGTGTAGAGGCAAAATAAAAAACCTAAATATAAATTTTAAAGAAAGTCAGTTCTGTTAAACTTGAGACACAGAAGAGTCACAGTAATGCACCTCGCCAAATTTATTTACACCTCCGTTGAGTAACGCATTTCTGCCAAAAATTGAATATGCGAAATTTGATGCAATTACTTAGCTTCCTTATTGTACGCAATGCCGTAGGTATGAAAGACGAAATTAATATATTATTGACTACGGCAAAGGAAGCATAGGCAATGTATCAAACAGGAACTTAAAAATACAAAATTAAATTAAAAATTGTTCTAAATTTAATTTTTATGAACACAGAATACATACTATGTAAGTGAATAAATGGATTTTTAAAAATTCCACTCTTACTTTTGAAAAATAAATTTGAAAGATAATTAATTGTATTTGTTTCCGCGTCGAAAGTAAATTAGTGAAGAAATAAATATTTTGATAATTTTGTATAGGCATAATAGTTAGCAACATTAATAACAGCTTTAATTGCAAATGCTCTCATAAAATACTTGAATCTACAACAACAATGTTATGGTAAAATTATTTCCAAATTTTTATCAAAATTTGCTGAATTTTCGAAAAATAATTAATTGCGGAAAAATTCATTTTTGACTGTAGCTTTTCATTTTAATTTTTATTAATAATATCCATTCTAGATCAGAACATCAAATTCATATATCAGTCTTTTTTTTTTTCAAAAATTTTTTTAGTTATAAAACTACAGGACCAACGAAACGTGTAAGAGCTAGATTAACAGTAAGTTGTGTAAAAATTAATTGGTGGAATTTTACCGTGTCTAAAAAGAAATTTTTTAATGGTTTTCTTTTTGATTCCGATTTGAATATTTTAATGAGAAAAAAAGAGAGAACCGCAGCTGTCTGCCTACAAATATGTTTTGACAGTAATAATAACAATAAAAAAAATCTAATAAATTTTAATATATGAAATTCGCACGTAATTATGCATACTTGTACAATATTAAATAGTATAGGGTGATTTTTTTGTTGCTTAGTTTTTCGTTTTTTGAAATTAGAAGCCTGCTCAGTTATAGTTTTCCTAGTCAAATCAACACAGTTTAATTTTCGACCTTAAATAAGAAAAGACAAAATTTATTTTAGTTTTTTTTATTAAAAAACTCATTCGTTATATATGCTTATTTTATATATAGATGTATATTACATGTAGAGATTGTAGATTGTAGATTCTAAGGGAACCGAGTGGGACAGGAGCATCCCCCCAAGCCACCGCAGCCATTTTTGACTTATTGTAGCCACCCCACTCTCCCGTCTATAATATCCCCGTCCCAATCACAAAGCCGGAGATATCCCTAAGGGAGTTGGACAATAGTTCCCGAACACTTAGGGACCCATGTCCAAGACAATTGCACGCCGGAACAAACACTTTCGCATGACGGCACCCTTTCGTGTCCCGCCAGTGACGACCGCATTCCGCCGCGAGTAGGCAGGCAAGCCTGGCCCCCACGGCGGAAGAAGGCAGACCACAGAAAGGCAGCGGCTGCACAAAGGCAGCCCCAGATCCCCTCCGCGCATATTACATGTAATATATAAGCGTTTTAAAGGCAGGTTCATTTTTTTTAGAAATGTACGGTTATAATTCGAATTATGATACACATGAGGTAATGGTAACGCGAAAGACGCCCTTCTATCAGTTTTATTTTGATTTACTCGGGGAGATTTTGCAATACTCGTATCAGTCATTTATGAATTTTACGAAAAAATTTCTACATATTTTACATATAGAAAATTGCAAAAAATATTATAGACCTTGAACTCAAACATCTGATAATGTGAACTTTTGATATTTAACAGTGTTGTTTTATTAATTCGGTTGATATTAATGTATGATGGAGTTAAATGCATAACATTTTCTCTTACGCACGTATTCTAACAAAAACAATAAAAATTTCATATATTCATAAATTTTATATTTTTGTACACATGAAATATTCTTTATTTTATATTATTTTTATGTGGATAAAATTATCAATCTGCTGTACACAAATACTAACTAACTACTCGTGTATCATATTAGGCTCTCTGACATAATTATAATAAATTTAGTTTATGGAAAGAAATTTAATGCTGCAAGTAAAAACGAATAATAATAGTAAATGGTTATTTCTAACAAAATTAGTTTTAGATTGTACACCACTACCATAAACACATTTTCTTATAACACACTTGTGCATATTTCAGACTAAATATATACTGGCTGCATAACAGTGTCCCCAGCTTGAGCTGAGTGGGAAAACAACATGCGTACTAAAGAAATCGGCATATAAAATTAATAGTAGGGTTTGAAACAAATTTAATGATTTCAATTTTGGCCTTGCAAAATTTTTCATTTTCGACACTTGAGATTAATATTTAGATGACAATCAAAATGTTCAGATGACAATCGTAAGATAATTTAAACACAAAATTGGTAAATTTTAAAAATTTTTGAAATTAGCGGGTTTTCTACAAAAAATCTCAAATCGTTAAGATAAAATAAAATCTGTAATAAAGATAAAAAAAAATTTTTTTCTGCTAATATTTCTTAGAAAATTGTTTATTTTAATTGGCGGTGTTATAATAATTTAGAAGTGAACGCTGTCAAGTGTCTGGTTTTATGTTTGACAGTGTTCAGGCTGGTTAATCTTGTAAGGATCTTGTTCAATCATGGACTCTACCTTTAGGCCCACCTCAAGGGAAATAGAGCGAAGTCTACATTAGACTCTGTTATGACGTGAACAAATAGTTTGCAGACCCTTCACTTATCTAATTGTAGGCCTATATTGGAGTATGCCAATTAGGTTTAGACTCCGTACTGCACACATTTCTTGGATTGTTACCCATTCAAAGCAGATTTCTACATTTTGCATTACGTTTTGTAGGATGATCTAATTCTCTTCGGTTGCCATTTTATACTGTTGTTAGGAATATAAAGATAGGTTACAGTTGTTAGAATATAAATGTTGCGCTATCGTACGGTAATCACTGAAATAGTTTTTTTTCATTCACTTGTTTGTAGAAATGTTGTTTCACTATTATTAATGGGACGAGTTTCTTTTAGAGAAAAATTCGATAATTTGACGTCAATTGATTAAATAGTTTGGTGTCGGCTTTACAATGTTACTCATCGTTGTTAAAACAAACTATCTGCTAAGAAAAAACCAAGGATTGGGATGTTTTGTGGTGCCAATTCTAATTCTGATTATTTTGATCTTGATGTTAGTAAACAAACTGTTACTCCCAGATTTCTGCTAATTTGAATGTTTAGTTGCAGTTTATATAGTATCAATCTCGTCTTCTATTAAGTTTTTCGCTATTAGAATAATCGCAGTTGGAAATAATTGAAATTTAACAATGTTCTGTTTGAGCAGCTCGATTTTCGTCAAAATGTTAGTTAACAGCTTTGCCCACTTACTTCTTCAATTGATACTTATTGTAAGTCTTTCCTCTGGTTATTTTAAAAAAAAATTCATTGAAAATTATAGAGTTATTTATATTATATTTAGAGAACCGATACATAAAACCTTATGGTATTGCCGCCCCAAAATTTTGCTCTACAAATTTTGCACTTCTTCCGCTTAGAATTTTTGAATATAGGATAGAATGTACCTAAGTTAATTATATTTTTAAGTTCAATTAAAAATTGAATTGTATTTATATAAAGCCAATATAAAAGCATA